AAAGTGGAAAATTCAGTCATAGAGCTGAATCCTTTATATCTTTGTGTCCCTACACAGAAGTGGTTTGGGAGGGTGAAAACTCGAGCACCAAATCAGTGTGTGAGGTGGCTCTGAATTAGCTGGAGAGATGGTTCATAAATGTGATATTCCCGTTTTAGGATTTGCCTTTTTGAAAGAACTGTTGGGTGAGTGGAGGGACTTCCTGTGAAGAAGGTAAGGGATATAAACTCAGTAAGACCAGGAAGAGTCTGGAAATCAGCTGGAGTTTGTGAGCTCTGACAGCAAGGAGGCCATTTGAGCTAATTCTCCTGTAGTTGCTTGAAACACTGGGAGAACAGGTGTGGAGATGGTTTATCTTGAGATTTGTCAGATTCTGCTGTGATTGCTTCCCCAGCCTGGCCACACTACAGGGGGTTGTGTAGGAAAGGAGAATGTGAAGGTGTACAAAAGCAGCAGACAGAGGAATAACCTCTTCAGGCCTATGCTTTGCATGCTGGGGCACAATGAATTTACAGGAGTGTTGTGGGAATATAGAAATCTTATAGAGCTTGCTAGAGCCTGTGCAGCAGGACAAGGAAATGCATGAGGCCCTGATGATAACAGCAAGAGAAAATGGTTGGGGGAGGCAGTGGTCTTGTGTAAAATAAGTCCCTTGAGTAAGTGGTGTGGCTTTCCTTGCAGGTGATTGCCCTTGTGATGGACTCCTTCACAGATATTGAGATCTTCAGTGACCTTCAGGATGCCTATAACAACCGCCAAGTCCCTGTCTACATCCTCCTTGACCAGGACTCTGTACCCCATTTCTTGGCAATGTGCAACAATTTGGGAGTTTGTCCTGAGCAGGAAAGTGTAAGTACTAAATTGGGGTCCGTGTGGTTTGTTTTTATTTTTGTGGTGCAGTGTATGCATATCAAAGAAGCCTTTCCATAAAGCATCAGACTGCCCTGAAAGGCCAAAGCAACCTGTCCGTTGCCCATATGTAGGAGCTACAACCCTGATGTGTACCAGCCCCATTTGCTGTGTGCACTGGGATCCCTATCCTGAGGATGCAGCAATTTTCAGGGATTTAATTTTGCAATGTTTAAATAGTTTTATTCTTTGGCTTGAGGAACTGCTTGCTAAGCAAAACAGAAACGTGGGAAGCTGAAGGGTGGTATAGCTCTGGTACCATCTGCTTTCTTTCCTAGTACTTTCTTTTAAGAGGGTTTGGATGATGTGAGCCAGGTGATTTGCTTACTGCTGTGAATATAAATGGACATGGCTGTGTTATGGCTTGGATAGGCTTCTGTTCAGTGCAGTAAGTTTCTCTGGAGAGGGAAAAGCACTCCTGCCTTCCTGTGCAGTAACTAATTGGAGCTGACTGTTGTCACCTAATCTAACAGCAATTTAGCACTGTGTGACTAAAAGCACTCATACACAGACTGTATAAAAAAGTTCATTTCATTCCTATCTTCCATACTGTGCTTAGCTGCTTTTAAGTAAAATTGCTAATCAAAAGCTTTTGGAAGTTAACTTAAATTTGATGGCACTTTTTTCCTTTCTTTTCTGAACCAGATGATGAGAGTTCGAACTCTCACAGGGAGCACGTACTACATGAGGTCAGGTGCCAAAATTGTTGGGAAAGCCAAGGAGAAGTTCATGTTAATTGATGGCATTAGAGTGGCAACAGGCTCCTACAGGCAAGTATTGGGGGTCTTCTGGTGCCCAGTGAAGCTGTAGAAATGGGGATTTGCTGCAAAAGGATGCATTAATTTTGCTGTTTGCCCTGTGTTAATGAGTGCCAATGGCACATGGACTAGCTGAGTCCAAGTGGGGCTGACACCAATCTGAAAACACCTTTGGAAAACTGGTTTACTCAGCTTTTGGCCATGGCTAAATAGAGTTCTTTCTGCAGAAATTAATACCCTGTTGACTTCTTCCCTTACCTTCATTTTTAAGCTGAGTCTTGCTGTCTATAGCTGCACTGTTGAAATGCATTGGAGATTAACTGTGAGGCTTGGTTTGTTTTCAACAGTTTCACATGGTCTGATGGGAAGCTGAACAGCAGCAACTTGCTGGTGTTGTCAGGTCAAGTGGTTGAACACTTTGACCTCCAGTTCAGGATTCTTTATGCCCAGTCACTGCCCATCAGCCCAAAGCGACCGTCCAGCTGCAGGAACAGTGGCATGTTTGATCACCTGCTGACCAGAACAGAATCCTCCAAAGAATATACTGTGGAAGGCAACTTGAGAGCAGAATTTGCCAGACTGTCTAGCACGCCAAAGAAATTGCTGGAAAAAGCAGATCAAACTGAATATACTCCTGCAGGAAAGCTTTGCAACCTGCAGCTTTCTTGCCTGTGTGAAGAGGAGTCGTTCAGCAATCAAGTGGGCACAGTGGAACAGAGAAGTGCATCAACTCAAACTGGCCCGTGGGAAGAGATGGCAGCTGTGACCAAATGCAATGCAGCCACTCAGGCCAGCACTGCCACAGCAGACAGTGGCACTCAGGCTTCTGTCACGGCCAGAGGGACAGGCACTCAGACATCCATTTTGCTGAAGACTGCAGTGACACAGACAAAGGAAGAGGAGGGCACAGAAACACCCCTCCTTCCCAGAAAGTTTTCAAAAGAAGAGTATTTTCTGTCTGCAAAGGCCGTATCCAGCTCTAGTCTGCAATCATTGTCTTCATCATCATCCCAGTGCTCTCTTGCAAGCTCTACAGGCTCAATATCCTCTCTCCGCTCCTTTGAATATTCCAGTAGTCACAGGGCACAGTATTTCCAAAAACTGCACAAAGAGAGGCAGTTCCACTACTCGACCATCAGGTCGAAGCTGAGCCACATGGTGGCCATCCTGTCCCGGCGGGGCCGTGTCCCTGCCACCTACCTGAGCCAGGTCCCTGCCGGGGGCAGCCTGAAGCAGAGGCGCGACATCGGCGCCAGCCTGCACAGCCTGCGCCACGCCTCGCTCTATTCCCTCAGTAAATGATTCCTGCCCTGACCACACACCACGCAAAGCCCAGGCTCAAGTTGCTGTCACTTTGTACGTAAAATTCTTCCATTTCCGTCCAGCACTTTTATTTCTTTGATACTTTTTTAATACACCACTCTCCAGCACTTTGTTTAAGAGTATGCAATGTAAGTGATGAAAAAGAGACATTATATAGTAACAACTTAGAGGTTCCTCTTGTATGGATTAGAGGTGAAGATCATTTTAATTTTGGGTATTTAACTTCAAAACGGAACTTGTTACTGCTTTCCAGGATTGCTAATGCCCTAGTTTTAATTTATGTAAACTTGGAAAAATCTGAGTCACACTGAACTTGCTCAGAGTAGCTTTGGAGATCTATGTTATATCAAGGAATTATATTATATCAAAGAATTATATTATATCAAGGAATTCTCAATCTTTTTTTTCCAATACTGACTTTTATTTCTACTTTATCTTTGACAGGAGAGGAATCAGCTTTTACAAAGAGCCATGAAGCTGATTTTATTCTAACTTCTGTGATACATATGTTACTCTTCCACTAAAGTTGCAAAGAGTGTTGAAACAGTTGCAGGTTATCTTCAACTGTATTATTTTTCCTTTGTTTAAGCCTCCTGAAACAGAATGAGCTAACTATCCCTCTGGTTTGATCATGCTCAGGCGCCTTTGTTTAGAGATATATAAATATATATGTGTGTGTGTGTGTGTGTGTGTGTGTGTTTCCTTCTTTGCAGTGGGCTCCAAGGCGAGACAATCACTGAGGGCATGTGACAAAGCCCCTGTTCAAAAGTAAACTGACAAATGCACTACAGAATGTTATGGGTTATGTTGGGTAATGTTAATTTACAAGTAACTCTAGGAAATAAATAAACATTTTTCTCTTTTTAACTTTGCTGTCTGAAATACTCTTTCCTGCTCATCATTTTTTCACTACTAACTTGGTTTGAGGAGCTGAAGTGCCACTCTAGTTTTTGAAGATACTTCCAATACTGAGTGGACCTGAAGTTTGGTTGCTTTGCAAAGCCTTTTTGTGACTGTTTGCAGATTTCTGTGCATGTCTGTTCTTGCTGGGTCTCTTACCTGAGCAGTCTCTCCCTGAGATCTGGCCTGTACTGTTGTTCTTTAGACCTGATCTCAGTACTTCAGTGACCAACCACACTGAATTCTGCCAAATCAAATCAGAGTCTGGGTTATGTATTTTTTTATTCAGGAGCATGTGTGTCCAGTAGATGGCACATTTCAGCTGTTAGCTCGAATATTGAATGAATGAATGAATGAATAGAAATATCCATAACTCAAAAAGGCTGCAAGTGTTGAAAGTATCTAACTTTGGAATTTCTGTCTGAAATCTCTAAGGACAATGAGGCTTAGCTACTTTTATTGCTTGGATTTCTAAGCAGCCACTCCTTCACTAAAGGTGGAGGTGGGGAGAAAAGTTCTGTCTGCACTTGTTCAAAATGATAAGGTACTTTATTGCTTGATTTGTGGATCTGGAACACTGGCACCAAACCAAGCTGCATGGAGGGAGCCAAGATTACACCTTCAAAGCCAATATCGAGTTGTATTTTTAAGAGCCCAAGTCCTGCAGTTCTTGAATGTATGTAAAATTACCTTGTTTGTTCTATGTGTTTTTTGACTTTATTATGCCGTGCAGCTGTTAAGGTGCTCTAACAGGAACAAGAAACAGTTTACAAATAAACTCCTTTTTGCCTTGGGGGCTTTCACCTGATCATCGCTGAGCTTTGCTTTCTGTTTATTTGGCATTTTAAATCGGGGTGACTAAGTCACTTCGTCGCCGCTTGGTCCTTTCCGGCTGGGGCCATTTGCCCTCTCCAACTTTTGGAGCAGCCTTTTGATGCGGGCTGGGCTGATCTTCCTCCTTCGAGGCTGGCGCTTCCCTGGGCGTGGGGAAGGCTGCGGGCTGTGCCACCCGTGACTGTGCCGTGGGCGAGCGGCCGGGAGGAGCGGAGCCGGGCGGGGAAGGAGCAGGAGCGCTATAAAGAGCCGGGGCAGCGCCGGGGCGCTCCGGCCATGGCCAACGCGTCGCAGTGTCTGGAGGAGGGCTCGGGGCGCTGGCCGCCGCCGGCCGGGCCGTACAGCGAGGCGCAGCGGCTGGCGCTGGAGGAGCTGGTGGCGGGCGGCCCCGAGGCGCTGCGCGCTTTCCTGCGGCGGGAGCAGCTGCCGCCCTTCCTGTCGGAGCCCGAGGTGCAGGACATCGCTCGGGCCGCGCTGCCGCCCGCCGCGGGCCCGGAGCCGGCGGCCGAGCCGTCGGCCGGAGCCTCGCTGGACGCCTCGTCGCTCACCTACTTCCCCGAGCGCTCGGAGCTGGAGCCGCCCGCGCTGGAGCTGGGCTGGCCGGGCTTCGCCAGCGGCGCCTTCCGCGGGCTGACGCGGGTGGAGGCGCATTTCCAGCCCGGCTGCGGGGACAGCATCTACGGCTGCAAGGAGGCGGTGCGGCGCCAGATCCGCTCCGCCCGGCAGGTGAGTGAGTATGAGTGAGAGTGAGTGAGTATGAGTGAGTGAGTGAGTGAGTGAGTGAGTGAGTGAGTGAGTGAGTGAGTGAGAGAGAAAGTGAGAGAGAGTGAGTGAGTGAGTGAGTGAGTATGAGTGAGTGTGAGTGATTGCCCGCGGAGCGCCCGCTCCCGCTGCGCGGCTTCCCGGGGCCGCCTCGTCCTTTCCCGCTTACTCTTACATACTCTTACTTACATACTCTTCCGTTTTTAATTACTCTGCTGTTTCGTATTGCTTCATGTCTTTTCCGCCCTCTTTTGTAGTTATTTTTTAATCGGGTTCATCATTTGCCGGCTTTTTCCACTCCCACAGTGCTGAAAACCGGGTCCGGGCTCTCAGGGTGCCGCTGAGTTCTCTCGGATTTGGCACCCGGAGTGCCCATTCCCGGCTCTCTGAAAGAGTCGTTGCTTCCCCATCCTACAGAGGATCCACGGCAAATCCTGGGGTTCAGATCATGGGGGAGATCTGCAGGGGTAGGAGCTGGCCCTCAGGGGATGTTTTACTCAGATCTTGACTTGAAATATGAGTATCTGAATAGTAAGGTGAGGATGAACCTGACTTTTATCTCAAACAGAGAGCTGAGATATAAAGAGCAGTCAGACACTGGTGGTTTTGGCTTTTCTTACTGTTTCTTTTTATATTTGAAATGTTGGAAGATGGGAAAACTGTAGTATTGGAAGTAAGCTCAACTTTTTCTTCTGGCAATGTTTTTGAGGAAAAGTCATCTGTTCTCAAGAAAACAACCTCTCCTGCTTAGGAAGAGATCAAATTTGCCTAACATAGGGCAAAACCAGGGGTCTAGTTCTATCTCAGGGTGAGGAAGAATACTCTTTATCACAGAAGACTGTACCATGTTCCATAACCACCTGAAAAAAAAGGCAGGGGGGAGTATTTAATTTGAAACTCAAATTTCTCATGTGCTATCTCTTTTGCAATGCTGTGGAAACAGCCTAATGGTTTCTTCTGAAACTCATTTCAGATGATTGCCCTGGTTATGGATTCCTTCACAGACACTGATATCTTCACAGACCTCTTGGAAGCCTGTAGCCAACGGCAAGTTAAAGTGTATATCCTTCTAGATCAGTCTTCATTTTCCCATTTTCTAAAAATGTGCAAGGATCTGGGAGTTGACCTTGAGCAGGAAAAGGTGAGCCTTGTCATATTTATAGGGATAGGGAATTGATCATCTTATGGCTGTAATCTTTAAGCTGTGAAGTGAAGAAATTATTATACTTGCTGCCACAACTTAAAACGGGTGTTATGTAGCTCCAGCTCTATCTTGGAAGATTTAACTATTCCTACATAAGATAGTAATTAATAGAAAATCTGAAACCTTTGTAATTGGATGTCACAGCTGCTTTCTGAGCACAAATACTAATTGAAAGTTCAAGGAAATGCAGGAGGAATGTCCAACTCCTAAAGCATGACTGGAGTTGCTTGGGCTTGTCGAGACTTTGAAGGATGAGGGAGAAGCAGGTTCTCAGGAGTCTGTGGAATTTGGATCCTGATGATTAGGTGACAGGAATTTTCACAGTCCCATTCTGCACGGTCAGTTTAGGGGTTTGCCCCTAAATGTCACCTCTTTTCCTACAAAATCCTCACTTTGTTCCCTGTGGGTGACTCTTGTGCCAGTGCACAGTTCATCAGGGATGGCTGTTGCTGTGTTACTCCTTTAATGCAATCACTGAACTTTGCAGTGCACCTGACTCTTGCTGTGTCATTAACAGCTGATGAGGGTTCGGATTATCACGGGGCGCACGTACTGCACCAGGTCGGGCACCAAAATCATTGGAAAAGTCCGTGAAAAGTTCATGCTGATTGATGGCATTAGAGTGACCACAGGCTCCTACAGGCAAGTGCCAATTTCTTTCTCTTGCTTTACATGATTTCTCTCCATAGAAAGGAAAACTGATCAGATTTTATGACCAACTTTTATCCTTAAAAGCGCCCACTGCTCATCAGTTGGGTTGTAAGAACAACATAAATAAACGTGATGAAGGAGAATTTCCAGTGAATACTTTCTTCAGTGATTATTTGGAATTAACTCATAATTTTCTCACCCTTCCTTTGCTAGTTTTACGTGGACAGATGGGAAGCTGAACAGCAGTAACATTTTGATCCTGTCAGGCCCTGCAGTTGCACACTTTGACCTGGAATTTCGGATTCTTCATTCACGGTCAAAGCCTATCAACCTCAAAGAGTTTTCTAGCAGCAAGAAGAACAGGGTGTGGGACCAGCTGTTCAGGATAACAGTGGCTTCCAGAGACATGACCAGGGAACACTTCCTGAGAATGGAATTTTTGTATCTGAGAGCATTTGTAGGAGATCTGAAGAGGAAGAGGAGCTGGCTGCACGCCTCCAGGGAGGCCCTGTACAGCCCAAATAACACGCTGCACACCTCTCCCCCGCTGACTAAGAGGAATGGCTCCCTGGTTATGAGGCCACACTGGATCATAGAGAGATGAACTGCATGTCCATGCAGAGCAAGCAGCAGAAACTCAGGAACCACGTCCGTCCATCCCTGCCCAGCACTGTCCTGCAGTGTGTTTGTGAGGGCAGCTGGGAAAGAAACCTCAGACTGAGAGAAAGTGAGACTGGAATTGTGGCTTTGTTTGAAGAATACTATACAGCCATTATTACTTCTACTACTACATTATGACTTCTACTATTCTGTTAAATTTTCATTTCTCAACCTGTTCATGCATGTTTTAAACTTATGGGTTGGCACAGGTTGGCAATGTCATAGTTCAGTAGCTCAACCCTTTTTTTTTTTTTTTTTTTTTTTTTGTTTAGAAATCTAGGTATTGAAATTCATATTGCTTGAAAGTCTGTTCCAAGATGAAAGCAGGCTCTGAAATCAGTCTTGGTCTTGTACAAACTCTCCTCCAACTGGTTCATGACACAAACCAGGAGTAACCCTAATCTAGAAACCAGTAGGTCAGTACCACACTACTACTCCTCCAATGTTACATTTTCTTCATACAAAGCTATTCTGGCAGGCAGAATGAGCTAATGTGTCAGCAAACAAGGCTTTAGTGTGACTGAATTTCAAATGGCCTTTATATTAGACTGCTTGGGTTGTTGGACATCATGCAATAAATGTGTGAGTGAAAATATTCTAAAGGACCAATTCCTTGGCATTACCAGACAGACTTTTTGTTATCTTTGTGGCTGCTGCTGCTGTCTGGTCGTGTGGGAAAAGCTGAGTAGATCTGAAATCTGTGAAGCTGCTGCCTCTTCACAGAAGTCCTAATTTCACCAGAAATGCAATGACACAGAAGTCAGTGGCAGAACCATTTTTAAGGTCTCTTGGAAGCTCAATTTTATATTATTATTTTTTAATCCATTCATTTCTAGAGGGAAAAAAATCACCCTCAAAAGAATAAGCTATCCTCACAAACAGCTGCACATTGAGGCACTGAAGTTACAGCAGCCTGCCAATGCAGATACTCATTAGCCAAAACAAAGGTTTATCATTTCTCAATTTATCTTGTGGCTCTTCTACTACAAAATACTCAGATATGTGCTTGTGTGAGTGTCTTGTGGGTTCTGGGCTTCAGAGGGGAAGGTTAAAACTTGGCAGAGGAATTTCACGTGGGTTTCAGCTAAACAGCAGCAAGGTGACATTAAACTGGACAGATGGAGCTTGCAGAAATGTACATTGCAAAAATGTACTGATTAGTATGCAGCTAATCTGGGCCCTCTTTCTTCTGCACTGACAATCATGGAAATGTAATCACTCTGGCTCTCCTAATCTGTAAATATTCAATAGTTCATAGCTTTGTACTATTAACTTCCATCCAGATGTAAAGAAGTTTGAAAGATGTATTTTTATTCTTAGCTCTATTTTCCATAAAGGCAAACCCCATACAATGTTGGACTCTATGCAAAGTACTGTTTGTGCAAGTCTTATTTTCATAATAATTATCTGTATATATTTTCTCAAGCATAACTTCTCCACTTGCTATTCATCTCATTACTTTAATAGGCTTTCCATGTGGGATTTTTTCTCAACGATTACTAATATATTGATGATACAAAATACTGTGAGTTGTGTTTATTTTTGATAGTGTGGACTCAGTATCAAAAGTACATTGAAACATATACTTAGAACGTTAAAGAACATCATAATTATAATTTAATAACCTCTTTTACGTGTGGTTACTCAGCATAACAGGGAGGTAGAGTGTTGTGAGGTACAGTTTGTGTTAATCACCATAACTGCACTGCTAGTGTGGGAGGTTATAAGAATATAAGATGTGATTAGATTTTTACTTTCCCATAAGCATGAATATATGACAGTATTACTAAACTTACTAGAAACAGTTTGGGCTTTCAATTTTTTATATTTCCTTTAGCTTCTACTTAATTAACTCAAAGCCTACATTAAGTTTGATTCAATATTAACTTCCATGGGCTTTCATGGGTGTGTTTGCAGTTTAAACAGGCTGTAAGCAGCCTGTGGTGGGGCACAGCTGTATCTATTCACTATTAGTGTGATAATTTTCTTTTTTGTCCTTTACACCTTGTCTGGTGTAAAGTGCAGCAGCTGTAGAGGCATCCTTCACTGGAGAGGGAATCAGCTCTAATTAATTAATTAATGAGCAGGGACTTTCCGGCAGTGATCTTTGGACCCCGTTAAATGCTCCCCCAGGTGACCACAGAAGGGGTTGGGTTGGAAAAGACCTTAAAGCTGATCTCACCCCAACCACTGCCATGAGCAGGGACACATTTCACTATCCCGGGTTGCTCCAAGCCTCAACTTGGCCATGGACACTGCCAGGGATCCAGGGGCAGCCCCAGCTTCTGTGCCAGAAAATAAGGTGCAAACCTGATGCCAGTTTGCCCCTTATTCCCTTATAGTCCACTGCTCCTCGGCCAGCCACTGCCAAGCCACCCACTGCACTGCAGTTTGCTGGGCAGTGCCTGTTCCTAAGTGCTAACAGGAACTCTGGGGTCTCTCGGCTGCAGATCTTTGCCTTGTGAGGGAAGACAGGCAGAGAGAATGTGAAAAACGCCAATCACTTGTTTTTTCAAATTTTAAGAGTTTAACAGTAATAAAATGATAAAAATAGTGATACAATTAGAGTAATAATAATTTGGACAATTAGGATTAGGACAGTATGAGACAATAGAAACAAAGAGTTACAGATGTCCAGGTACCTTTTTCTGGGCAGTATAAGCCCGAAAAGGGACCCACGTTAACAGAGGATTAACCCTTAAAAACAACAGCCTGTTGCATATTCATACACGATGCATAAATTCCATTCAAACACATGATTCTGTCTGGTCAGTGTCAATTTATAATCCTAACGGCGTCTTCATGGCTGAGCAAGGCAGGACGAAGTTCGTTTCTAGTGATAATGCAGCAATAAATTCTCTGTCTCTGAAAGATTTAGGTGTCCTGTGGCTGCTATCTCAGTGTGAGTCCTTTCTTTAGGAAAAAACAGTATCCTACATAGCATAGTTTCTATTTTAACATTTTGTTATGACCTAAAACTATATTTAACACGCTACTTAAGAAAATTAACACAGCATTACTTTCTAACACAACACATATAATATTCATTTGAATATTTGCGAGCAGCCAATCATAAAATACGCATTTTTCACGGGAAGAAGGGCGGATCTGCCATGGGCCAACACCTTCGGGCACTACGCGTGAGGGGAGGGCCCGGGGGGGTGCGGTCTCCATGGCAACGCGGGCCGCGTCACGTGGGCGCCGCTTCCGGCCGCCCTCTCACCCCAAGATGGCGGCGCCCGTGGGGCCGGTGAAGTTTTGGAAGCCGGGTGAGGGATGTGGGGGTGCGGGATGTGGCGGTGCGGGGCACGGAGCCCCGCCGCGGGCTGCCCGCGGTGAGGGGTGCGGGGAATGGAGCATGGAGCCCTGCTGGCTGTGGTGAGGGGTGAGGGGGGCAGAGCTCCGAGCTGGCTGGCCGTGGTGAGGGGTGCGGCGCTGCCACCCTCGGCTCTTTGGGGTCGCTGGCGCGTTTACAGTGAAGGGCAGCAAGGCTGTGAAAGGATTCGAGAATGTGTCTTATGGGGAGCGGCAGCTGGGTTTGCTTCGTCTCCAGAAGAGGAGGATTAGGGGTGACCTCATCGCTCCCTACAACTCCCTGACAGGAGGCTGTGCTGAGCTGGTCCCTTCTGCCGTCAGAGAACCGGGGAAATAGCCTTAAACTGAGACTCGGCATTAGCTATTATATTCTTTCCATTAGGTATTATAATTTTTTATTTCACTGTTCAGGTGGTCAGGCATTGGAATAATTTCCCGGGGAGGTGATGGAGTCACCCATCCCTGAGGGTTTTTAAGAGGCGTCAGAGTGCGGTGCTGGGTGATTTAGGGATTACAGTGGTGGTGCAGGGGTGATGGTTGGGCTTGATGATGGTGAAGGTCTTTTCCAACCTTGATGATTCCACGAGGGCAGCGGGGAAATGGCTTCCCTGCCAATGGAAATGTTCCCTCCCTGCCGAAGCCCAGGGAGTGTTTGTGGCTCCCCTGGGTGCTGCCCGGTATGGGGTGGCAGGGGAGGGGATGGAGGGGGGTGGTTTGTAGGGTGGGTGTGCTGCCCTTTGCCGGGGTCTCCAGGGGATGTGAAGAGTGCAGGGGGATCCCAAGGAATTCTGAGGGAGGAGCAAAATCCTGGCCATGGTTGGGAATAACCGTGGTTAACACCGGGGAAACCAGCTCCGAGAGAAGCACCTTGGAAATAATGTTGATAATTGTTGATTTGTGGTAGAACTGCTTGGCAGCTCTGAAAAGGAGTAACCTTTCAACAGTGGGAGAAGTGCAAGCAAGGAAATCCTACAAAACAGGGGAATCCTCCTCTTTGCTCTCAGACTTTCCTGGTTGAATCTGCAGCTGGAGATGATCCATTCTGTTACTGAGATGAGGTTTTGTCTCTAGTTCCCTTGTGTGATTCCACAGTTTCAGTTGTCAGTACCTTTGTGATAATTTGCAGCAGGAATAAATCAAGTTTCAGTTCCTGAGGTGAATTCAGAGCTGAAGTGAGTGGCATATCCTTTGTTTATTGTTAGGTAATATTTCAATTGCTTTCACAGAAAACTTGTTTGGTTTTTTTTAAATGCTGCCACCCATGATTCCTACTTGTACGAAACATATTTCTTTTGGCTGTATTGTGATGCACCAGGCAGATGTGTGTTGTTCCAGTTAAAATTCACTCCTGTTGTGTAGGCTCAGAAGGTCCTGGTGTCAGTGTCTCGGAGGAGAGGCAGAGCCCTGCTGAGAGCAGCGCTGTCACTGTCATCTACAACCCTTATGCTTCCCTCTCCATTGAACAGCAAAGGCAAAAGCTGCCTGTTTTTAAGGTACAGGAGTTCTTTTTGATGTATTAAATGTGTTGTATGATGCCTGGTTCTTGTGGGGTTTTTTTTGTTTGTTTGTTTTTTTGAAACAGCAGTGTAAAATCACTTTGCAACATAAATAATAATTTTATGGCTTTGC